TTCCCTGGACTTGATGTTTTGTGGTCAAATCCCCATTTTCTGCTGAAGGATTTAAAAGTGTCTGATGTATACTGCGGGCCCCCATCACTCATAACGGTGTCAGGAATACCATGTCGTGCGAAATGGTGTTTCAACTTGGTCACAACCATCTCAGCAGTTGTGTCAGGGAGATAGTCCAACTCGAAAAAGTTACTGTAATAGTCCACAGTGACCATATAGTTGCGTCCCTTGAAACTGAGTAGATCGGTCCCCACTTTTTCCCATGGTCGATTTGGGACTTTGTGCATTTGGAGTGTCTGTGGGCCCTGTTTGTCACTGAAGGTAGCACACGTGTCACACGTTTCGACAAACTGTCTAATTTCTGATGACATGTGAGGCCAATACAGTAGCTCCCGGGCTCTTCTTAGGCATGAGTTTATGCCCATGTGTCCAGAGTGTAAGTTGTTGAGGATTTCACGTCTCATCGTTGCTGGTATTACCACTCTGTTTCCTCGAAGGATGATTCCGTCTTGTACTGTGAGTTCATCCTGAAAGTTGAAATAATGAGTTAGACATGACGTCACCAAAGATTTGTGATCAGGCCACCGTATCATGATTGTTCTTTTCAACTGAGACAGACTATCATCTTTTTCAGTTGCTTTTCGAATTTCTTCGAGTCGATGCTCATTGATTGGAGAAAAGGTCAAATTGTTGACGTGAACTGTCTCTGTTTCAGGTTTGTCAGGTAAGTGTGCTCTAGATAGGGTGTCCGCTAGAGGTAGATCTTTTCCTGGCCTGTATGAAAGTTCAAAATTGTACTTTTGTGCACGAAGGAGTAAACTCTGTAATCTCTTTGGCGCTTTTGATAGAGGTTTCAACACAATGCTCACAAGGGGCTTGTGATCAGTTACCACCTTGAAAGGTCTTCCATAAGTGTAGTGATGAAACTTCTCAAGGCCAAAAGTCAGGGCAAGCATTTCTTTCTCAATTTGAGCATATCCTTGCTCTGTAGCCGTCAGTGCTCGGCTTGCAAATGCCACTGGTTTTCCACCTTGAAGTAGAGCAGATCCCAATCCATGTTCACATGCGTCATTTTCCAGTGTTAGTTCCTTTTGAGGATCGTAGAAGGTCAGAACAGGTGTGTTTGTGACTTTAGTCTTGACTTGCTCAAAGGCTGTTTTCTGGGTTTCAGACCAGTTCCATGGAACATCTTTCTTTGTGAGGTTTCGTAGTGGCTGTGTGACATCGGTCAAATTTGGTAGAAATTTTGCAAGGTAATTTACAACTCCAAGGAACCTTCTCAGGTCTTCTAGATTCTGAGGTTGCGGCATGTCTACTATGGCCCTAATTTTCTCTGGGTCAGACTGTAGACCCTCTTGAGTGATGCGGTGTCCCATGTAGGTTACCTCAGACATTCCTAATTCAAGCTTGTCTTTGTTCAGTTTTATGTTCCTCTCATCACACCGTGCAAGGAAGGTTTTCAGACGAACCTCATGTTCAGCAGTGTCCTTTCCATGTATCAGAACATCATCAGCTATGGATATAACACCTTCAAGATCAGATATGTTTTCTGACAGTTTCTTCTGAAATATTTCAGATGCAACTGATATCCCAAATGGCAATCTCAGCCAACGATATCTTCCAAAGCATGTTTGAAATGTGGTCAGTTCACTGGACTCTCTGTCCAACTGCACATGCCAGTAGCCGGACGAAAGATCTGTCTTGGAGAACACACGTGACTGGCCCAGTTCATGTAGAGTTTCTTCAAGGATAGGAAGTGTGAGGTGTTCTCTTTGTAACGCCTTGTTGAGTTCTCTTGGATCTAAACAGATCCTGATTTCCCCTGATTTCTTCTCTGTGATCGTGAGTTGACTGACCCATGGTGTAGGTTCATTTACTGGCGTTATAACACCTAAGGACATCAGTCGATCAAGTTCTGATTTCAGTCTTGGACGGAGTGCCAATGGCACTCTTTTGTCAGGCATTACGACTGGCTTCACATTTTCTTTCACTTTCAGGTTTACCAGTCCTGCGAAAGCTCCAAGTGTTCCGTCCACAACAGAAGGAAAGTCATTTGTTACAGAAGAACAATCTTTTTCAACAGAAGAGCCGCACTTCTTCTCTGGAGAACCTACAGTCTTCCTAGGAGAGCAGTTCCTTTTTAGATTGGAGCAGTTGTATGTGACAGAGCAAACAAGGTCCATGTTTTCAGGATGCACAGTAACCAAGTCCATTTGTTCAGCTGCTCGAAGACCAATTAAAGGTGTCAGCTGTTGTTCAACAATAACGAACTCAACAGAATATCTTCTCTTATTCTTTGGGTTCTTCACCGACAATCGAGATGTTCCAAGAGGAATAATTTCAGTGTTATTCCACATTTTCAGTTTCTTAACAGAAGGCTTAATGTTTGCATCTGGCACGTAATTTTTGGGTAGAATGTTTACTGAGGCACCTGTGTCTACTTGTAACACTTGATCTTTTCCATTGATGACCATGTGACACTTGATTTGTTCGGATGTGTTCACTGAGTTGATATTTTCTTCATCAAAGTTTATTGTACTGATCCAGTCATGTTCATTTTCAACACTGTGTATGGTATGTATCCATTCTTCTTCCTCGTCATCTGAGGAATCTTCAGTGACTTGATGCACTTTACCATATTTCTTCTTTGTGTTAGCACACATGATTGAGAAGTGATTCCTATTTCCACATGTGGAGCAAGTTTTTCCCCAGGCTGGGCATTCATATTTGAAGAGAACATGTTTTCGTCCACAGAATTTACAGTCTTTCAGATCAGATTTGTCAGTACTTTGCTTGTACTCCCCATGCAGTGATTTTGTGGAACTTCTTTCTTTGTTCAGACTCTTCCTATCTCTGCGTACAGATACAATTTTATTCACACTTTCTGGCTTAAAAGCTTCATATCGAGCAGAGGCATTCTCAGCTGCTCTACAAATATCAATTGCCTTTGTCAAATTAAGCTGCCTTTCTCTCAGTAATGTTTGCTGAGTTGTTTTATCACTCACACCCAGCACTATACGGTCCCTGAGAATTGAGTCAACACAGTTTCCACAGTAATTGCAAGTCTTTACCAACGATCTGATGTTTGAATGGAAACTCTCAAAAGATTCACCCTCATTTTGTGATTGCTTGTTGAACACATACCTTTCATAGGTTTCGTTGATTTCTCCAATGGCAAATGTATCAAATTTCTCAATGATATCGTTCAGAGTAATATCATTTTCATCTTTGTTGAAGTGAAATCCGTTGTACACACGTAGAGCCCCATCACCGAGCGAGTGCAAGAATGATGCAACCTGATAAGGTCTCTCATATGTTGAAAGTTGCGTCAATATATCGTAGTTTTTCCACTTCTGTTTGAAAAGTTTCCAATTCTCCGCTGTATTGCCATCAAGCAATAAGGGTCCGGGTGCCTTGATGCCTTGTAACCTTGGCAAAGGTCGTTCGTTTTCCCCGCCTTCCGCCATCTTGAGCGAGTCACGAGGTTTCAGATATGTGGTAATTAGAACAGTCAGAACAGGAAAATTCGGGATTAAATTCCTTCAAAGTTCAGATCAGATTCGTCTATGGAATGGGCTTACTCGTTTCCACTCCGCTGCCACCATGTTACGTGCACGGGTTTGAGGTTTCGGACCACAACAAGACACGTTGACTTCCAAAGACACGACGTTTTTAATCAACGACCTTCAAAAGCACAAACAAGGGAGATCACTCCCAACTCATCATGTGGTAGAGCGTACCACTAGAGAATCAAAATCACGTAACAATACTGTCCCTACCCATGCTCTTGGTCTCCTTCCCTCTTTCTCAATCGTTTTCTCCTTCCCTCCCTTTCTCCTTTCTCTCTTTACTCCCTACAGCTCCTCCCTACCCTACCCCCCCCCCCCCTCTCTCTGTGTCTCTCCCTCTCTCTTTCTCTTTCTGTTTCTCTCTCCCTCTCTCTCTCTCTCTCTTTCTTCACTCCTTCATTCACTCCCTCCCTGGCACTCCCTGAATATACATCGAGCCAAGATGGGTGTTACTATTGATCCCTCCCGTGCTGAACATGGTTCCGGGTATCAACCGCCAGGCCTTCAATACTGGGAACTCCACTTCCAAACACCAGACAAATATTGACCTTCCGAGATGAAGCACAGTTTTCCCATATCGACTTGAAGATATTTTGACATTTCTATTGCAGGCTGAAAAATATAATTTTTCAAAAAGGTTTCAAATCAGATAATTGATTTCACTAAAGACAGTTTTTAGAGCAGAAATTTGTCTCTCCTGAAAATTTGACAAGTTTAATCCAGGAGTCCGATATTAAACAAGAATACATCACTTGTGTTGGCAGGTGCGTATTAGTCATGAAGCATATCAGGGCAATGAATCTGTCTCCTTGTTGATTGGTTTTCATTTTGTTAGTAATTGATATGTAGCTATTCTGGGAATGAAGGCACCCTGACATAAACACCACATCATTTATAGCCGGAGATGCAGGCAGGGAAACTAATTGTTTCAGCATCAAACTTTTATACCTATACATCCCTGTCGAAATATGGGGACAGAAAGGGTTGTTTGTTTGTTTGTTTGTTTGTTCTTTAGTGCCACACTCAGCAATATTCCAGATATATGACGACAGTCTGTAAATAACCAAGACTGGATCAGACAATCCAGTGATCAACATCACGAGCATCTACACAACTGAGATACGATGAGATGTGTCAGCCAAGTCAGCGAGCCTGACCCCCCAATCCCATTAGTCACCTCTTATGACAAACATGGGTGGCTGATCTTTACAGGTAGACAGAAAAGGTCCTCTGAATCCAATGATTGTTGCACAGAGAGTAGCATTTAAAATAGTTATATCATCAATCATACATCAGATTTAAGGAGACAGTAATTTTGACTTTTACAATGGTGATAGGTTTGTAGAGAAAACTTCATACATAGTCTTTGAATGGCTTTTGTGAAACACATAAAAAGGTGAAATTTATGGATGTTAGTTTCTGAAGAACATGATGGTTCAGAGTACCGGTATATACTTTATCAGCATTCCCATCAGCGCCACAATCAGGCATTCCCATCAGCGCCACCATCAAGCATTCCCATCAGTGCCACAATCAGGCATTCCCATCAGTGCCACAATCAAGCATTCCCACCAGTGCCACAATCAGGCATTCCCATCAGTGCCACAATCAAGCATTCCCATCATTGCTACAATCAAGCATTCCTATCAGCACCAGTCAAGCATTCCCATCAGTGCCACTACCAAGCATTCCCACCAACGCCATAATCAAGCATTCCCATCAGCGCAAAAATCAAGCATTCCCATCAATACCACAATCAAGCATTCCCATCAGTGCCACTACCAAGCATTCCCACCAATGCCACAATCAAGCATTCCCATCAGCACCACAATCAAGCATTCCCATCAGCACCACAATCACGCATTCCCACCAACGCCACCATCAAGCATTCACATCATTGCTACAATCAAGCATTCCCATCAGTGCCACAATCAAGCATTCCCACCAACGCCACCATCAAGCATTCCCATCAGCGCAACAACCAAGCATTCCGACCAACGCCACAATCAAGCATTCCCATCAATACCACACTCAAGCATTCTCATCCACACCACAATCAGGCATTCCCATCAGCACCACAATCAAGCATCCCCATCAGAGCCACAATCAAGCATCCCCTCAGAGCCATGATCAAGCATTCCCATATGCATCAGTGCCACAACCAAGCATTCCCATCAACGCCACAATCAAGCATCCCCATCAGAGCCTTAATCAAGCATTCTCATCAATGCCACAATCAAGCATTCCCATATGCATCAGTGCCAACAACGATCAGCATTGCCACATCAACGCCACAATCAAGCATCCCCATCAGAGCCTTAATCAAGCATTCTCATCAATGCCACAATCAAGCATTCCAATATGCATCAGTGCCACAACCAAGCATTCCCATCAACGCCACAATCAAGCATCCCCATCAGAGCCTTAATCAAGCATTCTCATCAATGCCACAATCAAGCATTCCCATATGCATCAGTGCCACAACCAAGCATTCCCATCAATGCCACAAACAAGCATTCCCATCAGAGCCATAATCAAGCATTACCATCAGCATCACAATCAGGCATTCCCATCAATGCCACAATCAAGCATTCCGATAAGTGTCACAACCAAGCATTCCCATCCAAACTACAATCAAGCATCCCCATCAGAGCCACAATCAAGCATTCCGATAAGTGCCACAACCAAGCATTCCCATCCACACCACAATCAAGCATCCCCATCAGCACCACAATCAATCATCCCCATCGGTGCCATAATGAAGCATTCTCATCGGTGCCACAATCATGAATTCCCATGTGGCACTACAATCAAGCATTCCCATGAGGTGCAATGTGCATGTTTAGACAGAGTCTGTAACTGTATATACGTTTTTGTTGTACACAGCTCAAATTAACAGTGTCTTCAGGCGTTGTGGTGACAAACATCTCACCTTGGTTTCCTTGTCAAACCCTAATACAGAAACGAAACACCCTTAGAAACCAACAATTTCATGTTCAACAGAAAAAGCTTGAAACAGAGGCAGTTTATTTTATCACTTGACAAAATAATCCATATCTATCAAGACATTCACTCCACAGTCTAAAATCTTTATATATGTGTGAAACACTGTTATCTGTCTCAATATAGCAATTATTTTCTATTGCAATTATTTCCAGGATTTCTTTTCTAAAAGAATTATAAATCAGATATCTTGGTTAATTTCATATGAATCACTGAATCAGAAAAATGCACAGTGTAGAATATCCCCAATAATGTCAACACAGGCACGATGAAATAGACACATCTTCACACTTCAAACAGGATATAAAGCTTTCGCGTTCTTGTTAATTCTTCATCACTCTGCATCTGTCTCCGTACCGATATGCAGCGTGAGCATGCATGAACCAAGGCCATGCTCTGCTACAGGTTCATCTCCTCACAAGTGCCATAGATGTCAGAAGGGCTCGTGATAGCCTGAATACTTTATGCACTCCAGTTTTGAGATCCTACTCTGTGACGAGGGAGTCTCAGTACACAGCAAAGTCAGAACTCCAACCGGCACCGATGGTGGCACATTCTGACGCCTGGATTCTAGCTGCCAAAGTATAACATGTACATATAAATATGTAAAGGTAGTGTCAAGCTTTGAACTGCAAATATAATTACAACGTTCAAAGTAATTTCTCTCATGCAACTTACTTTAGTGGCATTTATTGCAAAAGGTGTCAATGTGCGAAATGTTTTGACATGCATTCATATCATTCTAACATTGAATATTGTAATTTATTGACAGGCTTAGGAGTATGAGTCTGAAGGATCTGTTAAAACTGCGAAACTGTCATATTGGTATTTCTTTTACACAGCTACAGCTTTACCATTGTGTGGAAATTGTATATTGTTTGAGATGATGTTGCAGAATTACTGGGATCAATACTCTGCCAGTTTTCCAAACATAACCTTTTTCTGTAGCATCTGTTCTAACGATTACTAATAAAATGAGAAATGCATTCAATCGTAAATTTTAACTGCTTTTCACTGTGTATGACTCATTCTTAAGTTTAGTGTGTTTAGGATCTATTGCAGTGTTGGGACTCTTCATCATATTTTCAACATATTGGTTAAAAAAGGAGTCAGTGTTTTGTCATGAATAATATAGAAATGGTTTGAAACTGAGAACTTTTTTTTTGTAGATAACTGTACTAAATGTATGTAAAGGAGACAACATTTAAATGATTTATTACCATGTTTTTAAAGATACTTGAAACATTAAAAACATTGTAACAGCAGCAAGCCTTCTAATGACTTTTATCCTGTTGTAGCAGATACAGGAAAATATACATTGCTCCAGGTTTAAAACAAAAATAGAAAATGTCAGGAATGTGTTCAGAAAACAAAAAGTATATGTTTTAAATCAGTGACCCCCAAAAATATTGATAGATGTAAAAACATGCCAGCATCCATAGAAAATCATTAGTGGTCCGTTTTTATCTGACGCTCCCAAATTCTTTATGGTTCCGTTTTCGCTTTCAGAACCATTTCATCTTTTTGAAAAGGCTGGCCGCCTGTCTAATTGGTATGTAGGTGTTATCACCCCAGATGCTAATGATGTACAAACACAACTTCTGCAATGCACACCTTAACAGACAAACAAACAAACTAGAGGCTGAATTGTTATAGATTAATATAAGGAGAATGCATTGATTTTGTTTTACATTATAAGTAATAATGAACACCAATCAGATTGACACGCACATATATTTAGCCATCTTGTTCTTGTTTCAAGATGCTGAGGAAGTGGAGATTGATGAGGCTGTGGATAATACAAGTAGGTTGTTAATAGCATAATAATAGAAATGTTAATTGGTAGTTGATCGTGCCCCTGTCATTAGAATCTAGTGGATCCCTGTCATTGTACTTCACACCAATCAATGGTGGCTCTTATCGAAGTATAAGTGGTAGGAAGCTATCAGGCTGTAAAGTAGAAGGTTAATGTCTATATGTTTGAAGGCCTGTTTACTGAAATCTAATCTACAACATGGCTTCAGGGACTAGTTGTTTATTATAGGGGAGTGGAGGTTGTTTTTTTTGTCATGACAAAATGACTCGGCAGAATGATAGTTCCATTATTTTTCAAATATTTTGTATATACACTTGAACATTAAACTTGGACTGTTATTTATATACTATTCACACTTTGGTAAGGATCAAATCATGGATTCAACAGAAAACTATGATGTGGGGTCAAATTTGGTTTAAATATCTAAGCATATTGTAAGCATGGATCCTAGGTTTCAGTATGCCATGTCATCTTGTGGACCCCATACCTGCTGTTGACAGGTGTTGTGTACTTGTCAATGACTCATTCCATGATTTGCGAAATGGTTGATTGGTGCCATGAAAACCATTGTTATGGTTACTCATGTCTCAAGTGCATAAGGTTAGATTAAGTGACTGTTTGCCTAAAGAGGGGTTACCATATCATTATTTATCCAGTTTTAAATGGATACAATTTCAAATTATAAATCTACATTTAAGCAAAGTTGTGAATTTTTGTGATCCTTAGCAAAGTGTGAGTAGCATATTATAGAGGAAAGGGGGTAGAATATGGTGGTGGTAGGGATGAAGCATGTAAAATGTAAAACTTACACACAATATAAGGGGTTACCTAAATCTGTTACAATTTTGGGGAGAGAGGACATGAAAAATGTAACAGTTCTATTTTTTAAACTTGAACTTGAACTATTTTTTTGGGACTGTTTTTCTATCAAAGGAAAGAATTCTAAGCTAAAGAATTTGTTGGGTTCCATGAAAAAAAAAGTTGATACAATTTGGTCCAAACAGGCAATCGTACCACAGCATATATATACTGGAATTCACATGTAAAGCACATAAGTGCTTCTCTACAACATCTCAAAATCTGTGGGTCACAAGTTCATGCGCTGGGCATTGGGGTGGAAATATAATAATTGTAGTATGTGCATGTGCACTGCACTTTTAAAGTAATGTGACGATCTGACCATTCCCCCCAAAACACATCACCTACTCCAGGGATATGGATAAGAGGTTTGATTTATTGGGAACAAGTTTGGGTTACCGGTACATGTTTTTGTGACTAGACTTTCCAGATGTGTTGGCTGATTGTATAAAGTCTGAATCTGATTTGTGTTGTGAATGTCTGAACAAACTTATAGCTTACTTATTGTACCCAGCCTGATTACAGACAAGTTATTATTAAATCAGAGAATCTGGCACAGCAGTGTAGAAGAAAAGGCTGATTAAATCTTCCATGATCAAACCTAATAGTGAGTGATGTATCTTTCCAAGGCCTTTTTTATGGTATGGTCTGGTAAAGAAATATCTTGAAGAATGAGGACTATTTTTATGGATGTACAACTTCTTTTTTCTATATAGGCGACATTTCGACAGATTCTAATGTCGTTGTCAAGCAACCACATTAGGATCTATGTCGAAATGAAACGTCGCCTATATAGAATAAAGAAGTTGTATTTCCATAAAAATAGTCCTCATTCTTCATCTACTCAACCTATAGAATGCCAATCAAAGAAGTCAAGAAATATCTTGTGAACATACATTCTTTTGATATTTTTACATGACTACAAAGTATGTATATTCATTTATTTTTCCATTGTATCTATTCTATCCATTCATGTATTCTACTTTTTGTATCCATCTATCCATTCATGTATTCTACTATTTGTATCCATCTATCCATTCATGTATTCTACTATTTGTATCCATCTATCCATTCATGTATTCTATATTTGTATTTATCTATCCATTCATGTATTCTACTATTTGTATCCATCTATCCATTCATGTATTCTACTATTTGTATCCATCTATCCATTCATGTATTCTACTATTTGTATCCATCTATCCATTCATGCATTCTACTATTTGTATCCATCTATCCATTCATGTATTCTACTATTTGTATTTATCTATCCATTCATGCATTCTACTATTTGTATCCATCTATCCATTCATGTATTCTATTTGTATTTATCTATCCATTCATGTATTCTACTATTTGTATCCATCTATCCATTCATGTATTCTACTATTTCTATTTATCTATCCATTCATGCATTCTACTATTTGTATCCATCTATCCATTCATGCATTCT